AAGGGGGCCCTCAGTTAGCAGAGATCTTAGGGCTTTTAGCAGGACCCCGGTGTCCTTCAGACCAGGTGGGCACACAGTCACAGTCACAACATTTGACTGATGATGAACATTTGCCTGTTTTGGGAAGGGTGCATTTGACATATCAGAGGGTGCAGTCATGGTTTCCGGTTTCTGATCTAAGCAGAGCTGGACAAACGGGAATCGAAATCCATACGCATCATGAACTAGGAAGGCAGCAGGTTCTGCTGTTGGTTAATTCTCTCCAGTCTTTGTGCAGAACAAGGAAACAGCGCGTTCGTCCCTGCCCTGAGAAAGGGGAGTGGCAAGCACACGTGAGGGGCATGGTCCCATCTCTGGTGGGACGGGAGGGGCACGGTCCCATCTCTCACTGGCTTAATGTGCCCAGACCGTGTTCCTGTTCACACCTGGGGGTAGGGGAAGCAGGCCCAGGTGACCCACAGGGCCTTGGATGAGGCTGCAGCTGAGGCCGGCCCTGCCAGGGCTGACCCCAAGGCTGTGTTTAACTTGGGCTCCAGCACGGGCCCTGTGTCCTGCCATGAAGGAGATGACACTTCCACTCCATCCACCTGGATCTCCTTATCTTGGTGACTGCCCCCACTGTGGGTACCAGGACCCTCTCCTGTGTGAGCTGGAACTGGGCGCAGGGAGTTGTGGGGAGGGGGCCCCATGAGAAGGGGCCACAGTGGAGCAAGGACTCAGCTCAGCAAGAAGGGTGTTCTAGGCCCAGGCAATGTGGGGGAGACTCAGGGGAGGAGAAGCGCTGGGGGCTGTTACCCTCAGGACCTGTGGCTAAACTCTGAGAGAACAGGAAGCTCATGGAGAGGTGTCTTCAGCCGGGAGGTAGGGGGAGAGGGGGGCTCTGTTGGTGATTTGATTGGAAGTGTTACTGGCAGAGAAGGAGGGGGCTCTGTGTTGCTGGTTGGAGGCGTTCCTGGCACTGGTAACGACAGGGCTGGAGGGTGGGGCAGGGCCTGGGGGCAGTGGGGGTTGGAAGAGGGGACAGAAAAGCTCAGATTGTGCCTCAAATGGTGGGTGCAGCTGCTGGGTTTGTTAGCGCATGGGATTGGGGTGGGACAGGAGTCATGCTGGTCACATGTGTCAACTGTGGGTGTCTGAAATCCCTGTGGCGACAGCTATAGGCTGTGGCCTCTGGGATCTGGAGTGCAGAGTGTGTTCTGAGGCGACTGTGAGGATGGTGGTCCACAGACTCCCTGGGCAAGTGCAATGGGGAGGTAGGTGGGAGCCCTGGATGCAGGCAGAGGGTGGAAGGAGGTGGGTTGGGGTCCCAGGTGCAGATGGGGTAGGAGAAGGAGGCCGGTGAGAGTCCCGGGTACAGACAGGAAGAGAGGCAGGTGGAGGCCCCAGTGCAGATGGAGGGGCCTGGGGGAGAGGCGGGGGGGGCGGGCCAGGCCCTCCTAGGATGACTGTGTGTCTCTTCTACCTCTCCCATTGTGTGGGCTAAAATGTGCTAAATCTCCAGCACTGGACAGGAGAGAGCGAGGGACCATGGACCAGAACTCTGCCTGTTTCTGGAACAGTGTAGGAGGTGCGGCGGGTCACAGTGTGGGCTCTCCACCCTGAGGAACGGCCAGATGCCTGTGGTCACAGTGTGGGCTCTCCACCCTGAGGAACAACCAGATGCCTGTGGTCACAGTGTGGGCTCTCCACCCTGAGGAACGGCCAGATGCCTGTGGTCACAGTGTGGGCTCTCCACCCTGAGGAACGGCCAGATGCCTGTGGTCACAGTGTGGGCTCTCCACCCTGAGGAACGGCCAGATGCCTGTGGTCACAGTGTGGGCTCTCCACCCTGAGGAACGGCCAGATGCCTGTGGTCACAGTGTGGGCTCTCCACCCTGAGGAACGGCCAGATGCCTGTGGTCACAGTGTGGGCTCTCCACCCTGGGGAACAACCAGATGCCTGTGGTCACAGTGTGGGCTCTCCACCCTGAGGAACGGCCAGATGCCTGTGGTCACAGTGTGGGCTCTCCACCCTGGGGAACGGCCAGATGCCTGTGGTCACAGTGTGGGCTCTCCACCCTGGGTAACGGCCAGATGCCTGTGGTCACAGTGTGGGCTCTCCACCCTGAGGAACGGCCAGATGCCTGTGGTCACAGTGTGGGCTCTCCACCCTGAGGAACGGCCAGATGCCTGTGGTCACAGTGTGGGCTCTCCACCCTGGGGAACGGCCAGATGCCTGTGGTCACAGTGTGGGCTCTCCACCCTGAGGAACGGCCAGATGCCTGTGGTCACAGTGTGGGCTCTCCACCCTGGGGAACGGCCAGATGCCTGTGGTCACAGTGTGGGCTCTCCACCCTGGGGAACGGCCAGATGCCTGTGGTCACAGTGTGGGCTCTCCACCCTGGGGAACGGCCAGATGCCTGTGGTCACAGTGTGGGCTCTCCACCCTGGGGAACGGCCAGATGCCTGTGGTCACAGTGTGGGCTCTCCACCCTGGGGAACGGCCAGATGCCTGTGGTCACAGTGTGGGCTCTCCACCCTGGGGAACGGCCAGATGCCTGTGGTCACAGTGTGGGCTCTCCACCCTGAGGAACGGCCAGATGCCTGTGGTCACAGTGTGGGCTCTCCACCCTGAGGAACGGCCAGATGCCTGTGGTCACAGTGTGGGCTCTCCACCCTGGGGAACAACCAGATGCCTGTGGTCACAGTGTGGGCTCTCCACCCTGAGGAACGGCCAGATGCCTGTGGTCACAGTGTGGGCTCTCCACCCTGGGGAACGGCCAGATGCCTGTGGTCACAGTGTGGGCTCTCCACCCTGGGGAACGGCCAGATGCCTGTGGTCACAGTGTGGGCTCTCCACCCTGAGGAACGGCCAGATGCCTGTGGTCACAGTGTGGGCTCTCCACCCTGAGGAACAACCAGATGCCTGTGGTCACAGTGTGGGCTCTCCACCCTGAGGAACGGCCAGATGCCTGTGGTCACAGTGTGGGCTCTCCACCCTGAGGAACGGCCAGATGCCTGCGGTCACAGTGTGGGTTGTTGCAGCTTCCACTTGAGCCGTTTATTTCCTAGTAGCCACTGAGGTGCCCCGTGGACTCTGGGCATATGCCAGTGTTCACTGGGAAGCACAGCAGCAGCCGTGGAGGTGGCAGCAAGGTCAGGGCACTTAGCGGACAGCATGGATGGGCAGGTGCCCAGGGACAGCCAGAGGGCGGCTGACGCCTCATTCGCCCTGGCCTTCCAAGTGGTCTGAGGCTCTAAGAGCTGCTGGCTGGAGCAGGGTGGGTCTTCTGGGGCCCCAGGCACTGACTCCCAGGTGACCTCCGCTGCACAGGACGACCCTCACTCATGCTACCCTTGCCATGAAAAGAGGCGCTGGCTGCAGCTCGCTGGCCTGCGTGACTGATGGAGGCTGACAGCCTGGAGCTCCGAGCACCCCTGGCAGGAGCTGACCCACTTTCCCATCCCTGGGCTGGAAACCTTGACATAACAGATGGCTGCAGGGCCCTGGTGTCCCTCCAGTAGGGAGGAGATGTTTTTAATTAAAAAGGAGGCATGGAGCTCCAGAACGGCCACAGCAAGATCCAGTCCGTGCCTTCTGGTCCGTCAGCACCCATAGGTAAAAGTGCAAAGCTGGGATTACCTCAGGGTGTCCATGTGAGCACAGAGGTGCTTATCGGGGGCCACGCCATGCATTTGAACTGATACTCTCCTCTTCTTTCTGAGATCTTTCTTCACGAAAGACCTACTTAGAATGAGTCACTGAAGAGGCTTCGTGAGCTGTGCTGTCCAGCAGAGCTGTCTGTGGTGCCAGAAACCGCCCCCTCTGTGCTTCCCCTGCCTCCCCCCCACTCCCTGTCAGCTGCCGCCGCCCACACAAAGCTGTTTGGCACTTTAAATGTGTGCTGTGAATTTTTAGTTTTAAATTTAAAAAGCCACATGTGGCTGGTGGCTGTCGTGCTGCACAGTGAAGCTAGAGCGCTAATCCGTGAGGAGGAGCTTCAGAATCTTTGTGCTGTGTAACGTACTTGCCATGTGCAATGTTGAAATCACCGAGTGTGTCGATGAAGTTACCTGTAAATGCGTTTTTAAGCGCAGTCCCCGACACCTGTGGCTACTCTTTAAAGATTCTCCTTACGTGCCACACAGGCAGTTGGAATGGGCTTTGCTTCTGGACTTTATCTTTGTGTTTTTCTTTTCGCGTGTTTTTAACAGAACTGTTTTATTGAGAAAAGAAGAAATACCTTTGCCTCAACTTTTAACCCATAGCGTCTTCTGTGTGAACTGGCTGAATAAAGGGCAGTCTCCAGGCAGCTCGGTTATGGGGGCTGCGGCTTCACAGGGCTCTGTTCCAGACGGATTTTGAGAGGCAGCCCCCTCGGTGAGGTGTTGCCCTTCAGTGAGGGACTCAGCAGAGTCCAGTACCTCGGAGCAGGGTTTCCACAGCTCCGCACAAAGTTGCCCTGACTGTCCCACGAGTCCGTCACTTTCACCATCATCATTCTTTGCCAGTAAATCATAGATTGGGGCCTTACTTTGCCCAGTGGGCCCAGTGCTTGTTGAATGACGGTGTGCAGCAGGGGCACGACAGCCGCAGACAGCACTGTGTGGGTGGAAGGCACTTGCTGAGACCTGCCAGGGACACCCAGCCACAAGCAGGGGGCAGAGCTGCAGGGTGCTGGGCCTCACAGAGGTGGCTCCGGCCGGCCACTCTCTAGCTGCTGAGAGAGGTGCTCCTGTGACCCTGGGCAGATGCTGATGTTGGCCAGGGGACGGGGTGGCCTGCTCAGCGTCAGGAGCAAGGCAGCTGTGGGGCTGTGCCCAGACCCAGAAGCCCAAGGCCCTGCCCTGGACTCCTGCATACCTTGTGCCAGCAGGCAAGGCCTGGTCAGCATGTGGCGGGTGGGCAACCCCATCTCTCTGCCACCTGGGAGGCCAGAGTGGTGATGGCCCAGGACACCCTGGATGTGCATGGGCTGTGAGACTCTTCTCTCAGCAGCAGCTGTGTCTTTTCTCTCCAGGTGACGCCTTCTGGGCCCCGTCTGTCCTTCCTCACAGCACCCTGAGCACCTTAAGCCACCACCCCCAGCCACATTTTGGCAGAAGGATGGAGTCCAAGGTCTCAGAAGGTGGCCTGAACGTGACCCTGACCATCCGCCTGCTGATGCATGGAAAGGTAAGAGGAGTGGCCGTTGGCACTGTAGGAAACGTGACCACGGCAGACACAATGGGAGACCCACTGCCTGGGTCTTTGCATGATTTTTCAATTTTGTTTTAAGCAATCTCAAACTTACAAAGCAGTTACAGGTACAGGCCCTTTGAGACTCAGTGCCACCCTGCTGCCTTCTGCATGTTTCCCTTAATCAAGGACCTTCTCCAGCACAACCACATGCAGCCGTCAGTGTCAGGGCACCCGCGGGATGTGTTCCCACCATCAGGGTACCCACGGGATGCGTTCCCACCGTCAGGGCACCTGCAGGATGCGTTCCCTCTGTTGGGGCACCCGCGGGATGCGTTCCCACCACCAGCCTCCCCTGACCACACGCAGCCATCGGTGTTAGGGTATGCACCGGAGTGTCCCACCACTGGCCTCCCTTGATAATGGCCACAGAGTATCTCCTGGCCCACTGTCTTGAGTCCCTGCCTCCTGGAGTAGATCCCAGCTTCGTGCAGTTGGCAGTTTTGGCAGCATGTATGTAGCGCAGCACATGTGCGGCGCAGCACGTGGGGAGTGCCCATGCCTTGGTCCGGGTCTCCTGGCCATTGGCAGGAACACAGCAGCAGCTCTGCCCCCGGCTGTACCCATCGGCCACTCCGAGGTGCTCCTCTCCTGCCATGATAGGAAGTCATGGACTTGGTCCTTGAAGCTGTGTCGATGTCCCACCTGTCCTCAGCCTTCCAGGGCCTGTGTTTCTATCCTCTGGGACTCGGGTTGCTGTGTTCCTCCCCGGCTCTTCCTTCCGTGACCATGTGATTTGCTCTGATGCCCTTGCTGCCCCTCGCTGGCCCCAAGGCCCAATGAATCGCTATTCCTGCAGCCCCATCCCCCTCTCTGCTGATCTTGTCCTCCCCATCCTAGTCCTGGAAACCGCCATTTCCCCAGTGGCTCCTATGTGTGGTGGCATGTTCTGGAAGCCAGGGTGCACTGTGCTCCTGGGCTGTGCATCTGCAGAGCACTTCCTTCCACGTTCAGCTCCCTATGGGGAGCCCCAGTTCCAGCCCCACAGCACAGGGTTCGTCCAGCTCTTCCTGCCTCAGGTGTGTACCATGACAAAACCAACTGCCAGCACCTGTGTGTGGCCTTCTGCTGGGAGGAGGATGGCAGAGGCTCTGGGCTTTAGCACCCGCAGCACTTCCACATCCTAGATTTCCAGAAGACACAGCCTCCTCCCTGGGGGAAGGTGGTGGTGCCCACACCCAGAGCATTCATTTCTGCAGTGGAGATGGAAGGACCTGCCTCTCCCCCAACTGGGAGTGTCAGGAGCAAGGCCGTGTGGCAGATGGGGCTCCCCTCAGGCCAGCGTGGCAGCCACACCACCCAGATGCCCTCTGTGGGGGCGGTGCCCTGATGATGGGGTCCCCTCCTTGTGTCCGGTGGCCTCTGCCTCCACGGACCCCTCTGCACACACACCATCCTCACGGCCTCACTGACATCATCATCACTGCCCCTGCTTCAGGTGACAGGCCACAGTAGCACCTGCCTGTCAGCTGTGTCTCACTGCCAAACAGGGAGACACTGGGCCACTCAGTCCAGCAGGAAATGTGTGTCCCGAAGCTGCCTCAGGCTCACTGTCAGAACTGGGGCAGCATCTTCCAGCATTCGTTTTAACGGGCTGCCTTCTAAATAGGAGCCAGGGAGCAGAGCTATTTTCTCTAAGTCACACAGTTGAAGGAGACTGTATTTTTCATGCATTTCTTCCAGGGTTTCCTGGAGGCCTGAAGTGTGTAGGTGATGCTCCTGAGGTATTTATCAGGGGCAGTCAAGTACCCTCCCACAGGGCACCTAGTCAGAGGCAGCCCAGCTCTGGCCTGATCAGGTGGGCACCAAGGAAGCCCCGGCTCAGGGCCTCTTATAGGCAGCCGAGCTTGTGTGTAACTCCCTGGCGGATTCTGAATTCTCCCCTCTTCACTCACACCGGGAGGGTCCCTCTTCACTCACACTGGGAGGGTCTCCTCCTCACTCACACCGGGAGGGTCCCCTCTTCACTCACACCTGGAAGGAAGGTCCCTCTTCACTCACACCAGGAGGGTCCCCTCCTCACTCACACCGGGAGGGTCCCCTCCTCACTCACACAGGGAGGGTCTCCTCCTCACTCACACCGGGAGGGTCTCCTCCTCACTCACACCTGGAAGGAAGGTCCCTCTTCACTCACACCTGGAAGGAAGGTCCCTCTTCACTCACACCGGGAGGGTCTCCTCCTCACTCACACTGGGAGGGTCCCCTCTTCACTCACACCGGGAGGGTCTCCTCTTCACTCACACCGGGAGGGTCTCCTCCTCACTCACACCGGGAGGGTCTCCTCCTCACTCACACCGGGAGGGTCTCCTCCTCACTCACAGCGGGAGGGTCTCCTCTTCACTCACACTGGGAGGGTCTCCTCCTCACTCACAGCGGGAGGGTCTCCTCTTCACTTACACTGGGAGGGTCTCCTCCTCACTCACAGCGGGAGGGTCTCCTCCTCACTCACACCGGGAGGGTCTCCTCTTCACTCACACCAGGAGGGTCTCCTCCTCACTCACACCGGGAGGGTCTCCTCCTCACTCACACCAGGAGGGTCTCCTCCTCACTCACACCGGGAGGGTCTCCTCTTCACTCACACCGGGAGGGTCTCCTCCTCACTCACACCGGGAGGGTCTCCTCTTCACTCACACCAGGAGGGTCTCCTCCTCACACCGGGAGGGTCTCCTCCTCACTCACAGCGGGAGGGTCTCCTCCTCACTCACACCGGGAGGGTCTCCTCTTCACTCACACCGGGAGGGTCTCCTCTTCACTCACACCGGGAGGGTCTCCTCCTCACTCACAGCGGGAGGGTCTCCTCCTCACTCACACCGGGAGGGTCTCCTCTTCACTCACACCGGGAGGGTCTCCTCCTCACTCACACCGGGAGGGTCCCCTCTTCACTCACACCTGGAAGGAAGGTCCCTCTTCACTCACAGCGGGAGGGTCCCCTCTTCACTCACACTGGGAAGGAAGGTCCATCTTCACTCACACCAGGAAGGTAGCCTGGTTTCGGCAGTCTCTGCCTCCCCTGCTTTTCTCCTCCTGCTCTATGACACCGTCTTTCTGTGATTCTTTTCCTGCAGGAAGTTGGAAGCATCATCGGGAAGGTAATTATTGATTGAATCTCTGCCTCTCTTGGGGGTCTCTGTAAGGGGATGGTGAGGACAGCAGCCACCCTGGGTGCTAGGTGACACCCAGTAGGTGCACCTTTCCTGGTAGGTGGGTGGTGTGTTCCATGAAGTCAGGACCCCAGGGGTGCTGCCTTTATGCCACGTGACAGCGGAGCTTGTCCCTGGCTCTGTGCGGCCGAGCGGAAGGGCCTGGTTGCCTGGCTGCCCCTGCCCATGACCTTGGTGGCTGGTCCTTCTTTCCTGGTTGAAGACCCCACAAAGAAGGATTTCCCACACCTTCTTCAGCTGGCCATGTCATCTGGGTGGTCTCCAGGAGTGCAGAGGTAGCAGCTTGACACTTCCCTTCCAGATCAGGGCCGGCCCAGTGTGGAAGCTGCATCCTGAGGCTGAGCAGTGAGGGCCTCCCTGTCTTCATCACATTTTTACCAGCTCCAGGGACCTATGTCCTTCCCTCTATCCCACCATGGGTGTGCCCCTCATAGCTCATCGTCCCAGCTTCCTCATGAGTGCCAGAGTGAGCACGTCTCTGAGAGCCACCACCCCTGGAGGGGAGGGTAGCGAGCCAGAGTGCAGCCGGCCATGCGGGGCACCTGAGGGCATGCACACTGCCCTGTGCCATGAGTTAGCTGCTGTGGGAGCCAGGTTGGGCCCACCCCACCCTTCCCAGCCATGTGCCCTTGGGTGGGTGCACTTGCCTTCCTGTGCCTCAGTTCCCATCCAAATGCCCTCTAGGGCGTGGTGGGCATGGAGCCTGGTCTCCGAGGAGGAGGCTCGGCTGTGTGGGCACATGGGGCAGGCCGCTACCCACCTACCCTGGGCCGTGCCATCCTCAGAGCCAGAGGGGCAGAGGCTGCCCCATGTGCCTCGAGCCCGTGCATGCCCTCAGCGGAGCTACAAGGGACACCTTTTCCTTATTGTCTAAATGTTTATTCCAGAAAGGAGAAACCGTGAAGAAGATGCGTGAGGAGGTGAGTGTGGTGGGTCCCCATCTGTTTGCAGCCGCTGTGGGTGGGTGGGAGGGTCCCCAGGCTCTGCCCCTGCCAGTGCAGGGCCTCTTTCCCCCTACTCAGGCCACCTGTACTTCCCTGAGGGAAGGGATCCCTTGGATTGTTTTGCTTATTAAAGTTTCATTGTGGAGGAGATTGTTGAGAAGGGTTCACTGTTCAGTAGTGGTTTGCCAGCTAGGGGATAAAGGCATGTGTTTGTATCAGTTGTCATCAGACTTGTGGCCCCAGGCCCTGGCCAAAGGGCTTTAATCAGTTGCTGGGGTTTCTCTGCTTTCGCCCTAGAGTGGTGCCAGGATCAACATCTCAGAGGGAAACTGCCCAGAGAGGATCGTGACCATCACAGGCCCTACAGACGCCATCTTCAAGGCCTTTGCCATGATTGCATACAAGTTTGAGGAGGTAACCTGCACCCCCAGAAACCTCCACCAGCCCGGCAGAGTCCGGCCTAGTCTCAGCCAGCTCCCTGAGTCCCTATTCCCTGTACTTGGACTAGGGGATCACCCAGGTGGCCCCGTAACTACAGTCACGTCCTTTGCCTCCCAGGGCCTCTCCCCAGCTCTGGTTCATCTGGTCAGGGCCCAGTGTCCCTCCGTCCTGAAGCCAGCTACTCCCAGCTCCTGCGCCTTGAGTCCACCTCCCTCAGCTTCCTCAGACCCTGCCCTGGGGCAATGAGCACAGCCTTACAACACCCCACCCTTCCCTGGAGCACACAGCTGCGGCCGGCCCTCGGGCCACACCAGCATCCCAGCCCCCAGCTGGCTCTGCCACATGGTGTTCGACAAAGCCCTGGCTGGTACAACCATGGTCCACAGCCACACACCACCATGCCACCAGGCTCCCCTGGGAGAGCCGATGTAGCCTGGCTTAGACGTGGACAGGGAAGGTGGAGGCCATTCGTGCTGGTGGTATTAGAGTGTGTGCGTGTGTGTGTGTGTGTGCGCGCGCACTTGTGCAGTGCTTCTATGTATTCTGCCATTGAGTTATTTTAATGTTTTTATGTGTTTCTAGTTTTCTTGAAATTGCTGGAAGTTAGTTAGAGATGCATTTAGTGTCTTTGAGGGGTTACCATTAAGTAATGAGGGGCACTTTGTGGAAATAAAGACCCCTCCAAGAAGGCGAATGCTCAGAGGTTGTTTATGATTCGGTGCCATCTTCCATGCTTGGCAGAGACTCGAAGGCAGGCGAGGAGGGGGAGCTTCAGACTGGGAGAGCAGAGCTGCAACCCAGGGAGGTAGTGGGGGTAGAAGCGGGGCATCCCGTGTGGCTGGTGGAGGAATGTGTGGGGCCTTTCCAGTGGGTCCTGAGTTGGAACTGGGGTACACATAAGGGAAGCTAATTGTTCAGGGCTGAGTGCAGCAAAGGCTGTGGCCTGGCCGCAGGGCTGGACACTGCAGACGTTGGGGCCGGTGTCCCCTGTCATAGGTGGCCAGGCCACTGTCTGTAGGTTGTTTCTTAGTTTCCCCTTTTAGCTACTCTTGTTTACGAGTGGATAGCCAGTTCAGGAAACACCAGAGAGCCAGGTCATGCCCCTCAAGGATGGTTCAGTTACCCCCTTGGTCAGCTGCCCTGTGGGGTCCTCTGGATCTTTCTGCTGCTGAGTCATCCTGGCCATCGTCTGATGGCAGACTGATGGAATGTGGCAGGCAGCACCATACACCATAACAGAAACAAGAACAACCTGGTCCCCAGATGGTGGTAAAACCAAGGGCGCCATTACCCAGCCCTAGGCAAGAGGACACAGCCTATGGCCATGAGTGCCAGCCTCAGAGAGCCTCGTAGCAGCTCCTTGGGGTGCTGGGCAGCCGGCTCCTGGGACTTCACTCTGCAAGAAACGTGCAGTGGCACAAACACCAGTGTGGCTGGCCAACAAGAAGCCTGGAGAAATGCAGTCGCCCACGACCGCTCATGCCAACACGCCCCCCACCCAGGGCCGGCGGAACGAGAAACCTGGAGAAACGCAGTCACCCACGACTACTCGTGCCAACATGCCCTCCACCCAGGGCCAGCCGAACGAGGAACCTGGAGAAACGCAGTCACCCACGACCGCTCGTGCCAACACGCCCCCCACCACCCCCAGGGCAGGTGGTGTCCTGAGTACCTTCTGCCAGAGTTGGCACTGGGTTTCTGACTGTAGTTTCTGCCCGTGCAATGCCCACTGTGGGGAACGCTCAGTCGTCCCTTCCACAGAGTACACAAATAATCACGGGTGGTCTCGTGTTCGAACTCAAATTTGAGTCAGAATTTCCAGCCATGGAGATTGATAGAATTAGGGTCTTTGGATACAGAGAAGTCTCCGAAGCTCTTCCTGAGTATCTGAGGCATTCGTCTGAGGCCATCAGGGCCTGGTAACTGTTCCTAAGGAAGCAGTGTCTGGTGGAGGCATAGGGGACCTGGGGACAGGCCGTCACTCAGCTGGAGAGGTTGGAACCGCGGCTTGTGCGCGACAGCGGCCGCTGGGATCTGTATTCGTTTCTTCCACGTGGCTGGGGTTTCACGCTGCTCCTTGCAGGTTGCTGATTTCAGTTTAGAATGACCTGGGACTGAGCAGTAGACTTTCCTAACTGGTTGTTTCTCTAGGAGAAAGGGACACTAGTAAAGTCACAAGTGATTTGTTTAGTTAGTTGTCTGTGTAGACGCAAGCAGAAAGACCATCAGCTGTGATTCCCTAGGGTCCCATTCGATGAAACCGGCATATCTAGAGATTCTTATCCCTGGGTCCCCAGGGGTGGGCGATGTGTCCAGTCGTCAGTGAGAGTGAGGGCAGTGGTTACTGTTTGGGATAATCTAAGTGGCATTAGAATGAATGTGTGCTAACGTAACAATTACCATAAAGTGAAAAGAAAATAGAAAAGGGACCATCACCAGAGGTGGATGACAACCAGGGGTCCGTGGAGAATGAGAGGGAGAAAGATTATCTGTAAGCAGATGCAAAGCGAAACGAATCCGACGGAGGTCTTGTTAGGACATCTTAGCGAAACTGTCCCTTACCCAAGGTCATCGGCTTGCAGGAAGGTCTCAGGTCAGCCACTGTCTCTGAAGAATGACTGCCTCTGGAAGGTCTCAGAGAAACCTCAGTTTGGGGTCCCCTGTTGGAGTAGTTTGCTCATTGTGTGGAATTTTCGGTCACCGCTTTGGCTGTGAAATGTGAAACCAAGGACTGACTCCTGGAGTCTCACTGCTGGATTTGTTAGCGATACCTGGTGAGGCCCCTTTCAAGGAGGTAAGAGAAAGAGACTTCTCTGATGTCTCTTCCAATAGTCATCTCCTGGTTGCAGGTCCTGAGCAGGGTGTTTGGGAAGATGTCGTGGGAAGCAGCTGTGACCCACTGGTGATAGGCAGGCCGTGAGGAGTCCCTCGCAGTCATTCGCCATCCCTGCCTGCAGCAGGACATAGTCTAGCATCAGGAGTCCCAGAGGCACGAGCCCCAGTCACCAGTTCATGGAGGGACAGCTGAGGTGTCTCCAAGGGAGCAGACTCTGTGGCCGAGCAAGCTCAAGGGGTTCCGAAGGCTTTGATCTGTTGGTCCTTCAGTTTTTCCAGAAGCTTGTGGGTGGTCAGCATAGTGTTGTTACTGAGTAAGGGGTAACCACTTACAGAGCTCTGTTATCATGGTTTTTGTAAAATGTGGTCCTCAATCACTTAATGTAAAAGTTGGTGTGCTTCAGCTTGGAAATACAAAATCAAGGAATTTTTTAGTAATAGGACTGCAGCTTTTAAACAAGGAAATGCTTCAACCCATCCTGAAAACAGATACGCAATGGCTAAGGCATTTCCAGTCCCAGGGTGGACGCTGGTTAAAATCCACCTGAGGGCATTCAGAGGGCCCTTGTGGCTTCGCTCTGGAGCCATGCCTGGCCTTCACGCCATGTCAGGTTTGTGCTGTTGACAGACACCTGGCCTTCAGATAACCTCAACAGTCTGTGGAGTCTCACACCAGTGTTGACTGGAGATATTAATCAGCTTCTCTACAGCATGGTGAGCAGTTTCATGGACTGACTTAGCTCATATACATCTGAAGTCATGTGGTACCACAGCCAGCCATCTTGAGAGCACCAAAGAAGACTGAGTAAAGGGTACAACCAGGACTTTCAGAATTTCTCCATCCTTCCTTTTCAAAATCAGGGGCAAAGCATCGAAATCTTACAGTGGCCTCTTTGCTTGCCTCCAGAAATCTAGCCTTTTAGCTGGAGTTGAACTATGGCTAAAGCACTGGTGGGCACAACCATCCCCCAGAGCATCTCCTCCAACATCCGCAGCAGCCTTGCCCCTGCGGTTGCCAGCTCTCTAGGAAGAGGTGTGCCTAAGAACTCCTCAGCCCCGGCCCATGGAGGGTGGGCTTCCAGGAGAGCTAAAAGCCCATTTCCAGAGCATCTACCACATGGGCCCGTGGCTAGTTGACAAGCGCTGGCAAGAGTGATGAGTCTGTGGGTGACACCCCTCCCTGGGCACCGAGGAAGAAGAACTGTCCAGACCCCAGCACAACTAATGCCTGAGGAATATCTTAGTTTATAGTGTTACTACTCAGCTGTTTCCTTTATATATAATCATATATTAGTTTATAGAATTAGTGCCTGAAGTGTGACTTACTGCTTGCTCTATCTAGCTTATATAATCATACTTAATACTTACATCTAGCATACTTAGTTCCGTATAATCTTTCTATATGAACATATAGGTATTGTAGTCGGAGCTGCACCGACACGTTTAGTGCTGACTTATAGAATCCTTCCACAGAACCATACAGGAGTCTGCAGTAGGAGGGGTGCCTAGAGCAGTCACCGAACAGAAGCAGTACATGGAAAACAGCCAGACCAGGACGAGAACCAAAGACCCAGGCAGTGGCGTCCCTGCCTGAAAGGGCATACGCTGTATGGCAGGTTTGGAGCAAGAGCCTCTCCTCCTGATAAAGGAGTTGTGGTACCTGCATCCAGCTCCTGTGGAAAGTCGGCCTCAGGCCTGAGATCCTGGAAGTAACCGAGGGAGAAGAACCCTCTGGTGTGACCAGTCACGGCGGCTGTACACCCTGTCAGTCTTTTCTCACCTCTGTGCTAGCTCAAATCATCCTCCCATAAATATCTTAAGGGAAGAGCACAAGTCTGTCAGCTCCCACTGCAGTGGCTTGCAGTATCCTTCTGTTAGAAACCCTTTGAAGTCTCCAGCCCCCGGATAAGAAGTGTTGTGCAGGACACCTGTTGCACACAGCCCACGTCCTTGCCTCGGTGACCTAATGGGGGTGGACCCCTTTTCTGCACACGACCCTCTACTACTGCACACGGCATGGACCCCTACTGCACACGACCCACCTTTCTGCCCAGGTGACATAATGGGGTGGCCCCCTTGCTTGTGACTCACGTGATTATGTAGCCCTATCACTAAGCCTATAGATGATGACCTCACTC